TCAACATGGGTAGTCACCCATGGATTTGGGGCAAGAGGCCATCTTTAAGGGCAGTTTGAGCGTCCAGAGTGTACTTCTAAGAGTAGTGTTTCTGCTATGTTCGACGTTCGACCACCTTTCAACAACCAGCTGTTGTCCTTGAGTCGGTGGTGCTGATTGAAAACATGAACGAAATAGTTACAGTATATACCACCGCTACCACTAGAATACTGGCCACGGCACATTCAAAAGACCCTTGGGGTTCATGTTCACACTGCAACGTGTGCATGAGCGAAAAAGGTTGACGCAAACCCAACATGAGTTCTGTGCTAACAAACGCTGTCCCTTTCACCCCAATCAGTTCCAGCTCACCTCGACCATGCGGTGGCAGGTGACGCCCGTCTCAGCATCCCCCTCAAAGATGCACCAAAAACCGGACCTGAACTTCAGCGGTCTTCTCAATGCCCATTCTCTTGGCAGTTCGGCTCAACAATTCATGGGACATTCTTCCAGGACCTCTCAACAACTCCGACTCGTCTCAGAAGTGTCAGCCTCTGGATGCTGATGGAAGAAAACCTGCGCCAGTAGCTAGGTGGTTTGTTCCAGTATTGACAACGGTATTGATACGGTTTCATCCATTCCAACTGGTGCGGACTGGATTTGTCCATCCACAATAGCAATACGACTCAGGGCCAAAAAGGCCACACTAAGACCTTTGCCAGCAGCCGCGGTGCTTGGGTAACAAGGAGGGATGGAAGTTGATGCAGTCGGGGCACAAGCCCAGCCTCAGCATGATGTGAAATGCAGTGTAAACAGAGTCAACTCTTGATGTCATGCAAGTGTTTGGCTTATCACAATGACATGTTTCACTCTTGGAGGCATACACGATGCAAGCAACACGCTGCAATGTCTGTCAAGACATGCTGCACTGTGCTGTATGGTTCACTTCGGGTTTTATCCGGAGGACTACAGTACTCAGGAGTGGTTCCCTTTCTAGTGGAGACTCTTTGCTTTTTGGGGAGGATTTCTCTGCTTAGTGTGGTGCTCCGGATTATGTAATCTGAATCCGAAGTGAACAGTACAGCACGAAGGCTTGCCAAGTCTAAGACGCTCACACGTTTGCGGGCAGTTTTTTTCTATAGGACCTGAGCGGCGTTCACGGAGCTCACAACAAAGCCGCTGGCACATGAGTGCCCGTCAATATTGCCACCACAAACCGTATTGAAAGACACTAGACTACCAAAAACTGACACCCAACCGGCAACACCCAAAGCACATACCCCAGATTTCTTGTCAGTTGCTCACATCTCAGCCGCTGGCGCAGAGACAATCAAGTCTGGCTGGAAACCACTAGCGGCCCTTGGATTCCGAATCCAGGCGAATCGCACCGGACATCATCTGCAAAGAAACAACTTCCAAGACTCGGCTCCAAGTGACGACCACCTGAATCACCCGTGTGCTTTTCCTCCCGACCTCCACACAAAGAAATACAACATTGTACCCTCAGATGCCCAGTGGCCAGGGGGAAAAAAGTGCATCCTTTTTCGGTTGGTTGAGTTTCGAGGGAAGCCCCCAAAAAAAGGAAAAGAGGGCATCACCGGGCAACTGGATACCTATGAGTCCGGCCGCCGGATTTCACATCGCTCTGAGCTTGAGAAGAGCGGCTTGAAGATTTCATCATTGCTGTCTAGGAGAACCTGCACGCTCCAACTCTGGATTCGCAGGTCGCCGTAACTTGGAGCCCCTGAGTCTTGAATCTTCCAAAGGAAGATGGAATTCGCACATGTTTTCCCTCCTTGGTATGGGGAACCACCCTTTCTGCGATATGAACATGACCATTCCCGAGTCGCACAAGGCGACACAAGCGAGCCATGGGCGACGCAGTCGAATCCCAGAGCAGTGCAAACATCGCGCAAATCCTCAGCTCCCAGGGCGAACTCGGCTGAGTAAAGAGGTCATTTGGCCATGGGTCAAAATCTCGTACCCCCTGTGAACATCCCAATCCCCACTAAAATAGACTAAAATGGGTGGTGCACCTACCCCAAAATGGGATCCCATTGGTTTTGACCCACAGCCATTTGTTGCTGGGACTCGTTTGAGCCAGTGGGGCCCTAATCCGCTCGATGCGGCCAATGCCTTTGATGGGGGTGGGTTTTCAAGAAATGGCGGAGGTGATTGGATGGGTTCGGAGCACCTCTAGGGCGCCCACATGGCACCTTGCACTATGCCATGAGCAAGCCAAGAAGTCAACTCATCAGCATTGGCAACTTAAAAGACTTAAAGATTTGGCATTGGGAAAGCCATGTTTTACAAACAGCTCACCCAATGGTCCAAAAGTGGGTGTTTGGTCATGGCCCGGAATGGACCCGCGGGAAAACAGGCAACCATGGCCCAATTAGAAGGGCTTGACATGCCACACAATCCTTGCAACCAACATGTGACCAATTTGGAGGGTAAATGTGGGATAAACATATTCCATACATAGAGTGTGTGGGCATGTCCATCCATACTGGGAGGGCGACAACGGTGGTCTTCCTTGTTTATTTCGCTTGCCAATCCCGACACCGGCGAAGAACGCACAAAGATCGGGAGGGGAGGGCAAAAGGGGACAATCTCAAACCGCGCTGAGATGCCGGCGCAGTCTTTCGCTTGTGAAGTTTGCGAGATGCAGCACACCGTGGGAGGACTCCCTGCCTGCTCGTGTTCGGGAGCTTACTTCCAAGCAAACACATGGGTATGTGTCAAAATAGGCGAACCCCGAATATGTTTGATTTCCTCTTTGCTTCCTATTAAAACCAAAAAAAAGGTGTCTCAAGAAAAGAAGCAGCCACATACACTTTAATTGGAAAACAACATTTCACGGTACGAGTAGGCTCAAGTCGAGCCTTGCCCAGAAAGAAACCTCGAATGCAAGGTATCAAGCTGAGTAGACTTGACCGGATTAAGAAACAGAAAGCCAACCTTTTGGAAGCTTGACTCCGAGTTCAAGAGTGGGCCAAGACTGCCAGTTAGGGTCATTGCAGGTTGATTCCCTGTTGCAAGTGGCGACCAGCTTGCACTCCTGCCTCTCCGCAGCGGGACCTCTGCGAGCGGGAGGAAAAAAGCACCAGATGCTCAGTCCCCAACTTGGCTTACATCTGGGGAACAGAAAGGAATGTCAGATTCTGCATCATATTTTGCCACCCGAAATTTGAGGGAGGGCGCAAAGCACGTCACGGAGTCGCTAGTACAGCGACTCACGCCGGTATGCTGTCACGTTGCGCCGCAGTCATTCAGCTTGATATTTCACACGCGCAAGCGGTGAAGGTGCAGGCAGTGTAAACAGTGAACAAGATGTAACGGTAGAATGGTTCGCAAAGAGCCCCCAGGTAAGAAACAGACCACTGCCCAAGGGGCCAAGGGTATGGTGGATGCCCTATACCACCCAGTTCCAGCCACAAAACCCTCGAGGGTTATGTTGTTTCCACTCCAATATTTAGGGTATACAGCATAGTAACAGAAACCTTACTGTGGGCCTACTTCCTTTTCAAGAACCTCGCTGAGTCAGTCATGGTTTTTTGGGCCCGGTCAACTCCTTGAGCACTTGCTCAGCTGCAGCGCCCCATCCGAAGAGGAGCACCTCAGACGTCCGGGAGATCGCTCGATTGGCATCCAGGTGAAACCCACGCAATCCATAGTATATACCCACACCCGACCCTTTTTTTTCAGGGGTTGTTTTGTGGGGGGAAAAAACACATAAAACAAATCCAAACACATCGACACAAATTCCAATTGGGACTTTGGGACTGGATAAGGTCGATGCCTGCCTACTGCGCAAGGGAAGGCGCTGTTCACCGTTGTCCTTGTAACATACGCTGCCCTGACCACCTTTCATGCACATGAGCCTGACTTGCAAAGAGTAGCATGGTTCCACATCTCCGGCACACTCAACCCTGTTCAGTCGCCAATAGTGGATCTCCATTACGTTGCATCCGATAACTGTTCATAACCCGTGACCACAGATTCATGTTCCCTGAATCATAATCAAAACATGGCACCCAAACCCATGTAAAGAATCAAAGGGCAGCATCACCTATTTCTGGCTGAGACAGCCATTCCCATCTGTCTGTCATGATAGCCCCCTGAGAAACACTGTGTCTGTGCGTGTGAGTGCAAGTGTAAGTGTGTGGGTGTGGAGAGAGAGAGAGAGAGAGAGAGAACGAAACCAAAAAGAGAGATGCATTTCACTTATGATCCGTTGACAATCTCACTTGGTTCTCAGGCTGAGGCTGAAAGTGACGAAACCGAAACATCCAGAACGGGGATCCCTAGCTAGCAAGCCAAACCGACCCAAAAGCACAGGTGGTTTGGATAGGCACCTACCCTGAAATGGACCATATAGTTCAGCGAAGTTGTTGACAGTCGGCTTCAAAGTCCCTGTGAAGCCGTACTAGCCATGATACAAAACATGGGTATATGACGGTATATGTCAAAATGAGAGGACACAAACCTGTGGCTGTGCTTTTGTTGGCTTCCCTTTACATCCCCCTAAAAGGGTACCTTCACAACACAACACCCACATCCACTTGAAGAACTCCGATCCAGTCCACTTTCGCGCGCTGCACTCGGGCAACGGCCCTGCGCTGTCTCGGGGGCATCATCTTCAGCCAGCGGCTGCGGAGAATTTATGGCATGTGGGTATGGGTCAAGATTAAAGCACCAGGGGACTCAGGGGACCGCAGGCTGTCCTTGTTTCCCTTTCCCAGGGTTCCATTTTGGGAAATCACCTATTTTTGACCCACAGCCATGTGGCGTGTTTCTGACTGCAAACCTGGAAACCGCTTGCTCACCCCCTAGGTGGATAGCAGTACATTGGTTTTTTTCTGCAAGCGCCAACCATAGGGTGTTCATACCTGGACCCTCAAACTCCCTCACACTCAATACAAAATCCTTCAGCATCACCCCTGAAGGAAACTCGCTTTAAGTGGGCCCGATATCGGAAGCCCCTGTCCATCTTCCTGTCCGTCGGGTCCGCACGCACATGTTGCGTTTCCGGCGGCTGCTAAGCGATCGGTCGCTCGCCCAGCTCGCCAGCCTGCAAAGGCGGATCACATTGCAGGTGCAGTACTCAACTGGGTGTTGCCAGAAATAGCGGACCCCGAATGGGTGTTTTCCGTTGGGATTAAGGGAGACTGAAACACAGGGTGTCCGATCCAACTGGGGCAATCAACCCGCCCTGGGTTTAAGCTGAGCTTGGGGGTTGCCGCAAAAACGGCTTGTGGTGAGTCTATGTTCCCAGACCCATCCCTGGATTTTGTCAGCGGGTCATCGGTCATCATTTGTGGAAGCTGTGCAAGACCCCCATGGCGCGATGTGGCATGTGTTGCGGAAGTTAACGCTCCAACCCCCCAGCACCGGAAGTCAACGCGGCAAACGACGGAAACGGAGGGAGAACAATCCGCATTTCCACGTTCGAGCGCTGACGTCTTCGGTGAAACGGCGAGCCGGGCGTTGGCCACCTTCGAAGGTCGCTGAAAACTCGCGGTGAAGCCGCGCCGGCCGCCTGAAGCTCCAGATCTCCCACATGCAGCCTGAACCGAGAAAGTGGTTGCCCCAAGGACCAGAGGAAAAAAAAGAAAAGAAGAACAAAAACACCGGCTGTGGCATATGAGGCAAGGTGAAATTAACTTGGTTCAACATATTTGGACAAAGTGAGCGTCAAGGGATTTGTGGTGTTCCCCATGTCCATCCCAAATAGACTATAGATTATAGAGATTCAATATATTCTGACCGCATATCGAGCTCGCGCCAACGGGGCTTCTGCCCTTCGCAAAAACGGAAACTATTAGCTATATGTCTGGATCCGTCACAATGGCGTCTTGAGGGGTTCTCAATTATAGGGTTGATTTTGAAGAAGTGGATGGTGTTTGAGGGTTTTAGCATTGCCACTTTCCGGGACCCAGTGGAACGGCTAATCGCCTCGCAACTTGGCCTGTCCCAGATTCTGAATTCGGAGGGCGAGTGGGCAAGTGCTGTGGTCAGACCCAAAGGGATTGTTCTGGTCACTTGCTGGAGATCAGAACACAGCTCCTACCCCTCCTTCTCCGCAGTCCGCAGACCCCGGGCGAATTGACCCTGAGCTGAAGCAAGTGCAAGCAACCCTTGGCAGTGTCTCTTGCACAGCCGGGCAAAGCTGATGAACTAAGCAGCATGGGCATTTGGCTGGGAAGCTCGTTGCCGGCATCCAGAAATAAAGCAGGAACGGAGCGACTTCACCATCCCATGCGTGGCGGCTTGGGGAGTCGGAATGTCCTCTTTGCAGACATCTGTACTCCAAAACACGCAAGTACTACAGTATGGGTACAGGAGAGATTCCAACTTTCATAACCCTTAGAAGCAGTCCAAACAAGGGCCCAGTGAGCGGTGCTTAGCTGTAGTGGCTTCGTTTCATGGCCGGGTCCTCTGAATACTCGAATCGCAGCCCTTCCGCAAGCCGACACACTTGCGGTCCTTACTCGGGGCTGGCAATCTTTACAACAGGCGACCGGCTCCAGGAAGATTCACATGGAGATTTCTGGCGTCTTCATTTCTACAATCAAGGCTAAGGCTCCCTTGTGGACTCCGAAGTTCCACTCGCAAACATCAAGTCCAACATCTACCAGCATCCAAGACCTCAACTTGAATGGATTTATTGAATACACTCCAGCGAACCAAACCTGAAGTCCCGGATGCCTGGTGACACCTCACCCCTGATTAAAAGCGGCGTCTCACGATAGGAGACACTCACTCGTCTTCTCATCGGCCAAACCCAGGCCGGTCGCGAACTCCCGGAGCTGGTCCTGACGGACTGCATGGCCTGTGGAGGTTCAAGCAATCTCAGCCCATCTAGGAAACAGCACGCCTTGCTTTCTTCAGGCTCAATTTCTCCTGGTGCAGCGTCTTCTCACTTGTATCCTTGACAATGCGTCTTTTGAGTGTACTCTTTTGGGGTTGGGTTTAAAACGGACACGAAAAGCAAAACCAGACCCGGCCTATGAAAAGGAAAACCCGACCGGCTCCCCCTTTTGAGAGACCTAGCGAATCCTAGCGAGCCGTCCTGCAGCTTGGCGGTGGGAAACACCACATGCCGGCACTGCTGCACCTCCGCGCATGGCAACTCCCATGTGGGTCATGGCTTCCGTAGGGGACCACCATGGGAGGGGAGGGGGGGCGGGGAAAACCTATAACCTGGAACATATGTACAAATGGTTTCCTCAAATCCCTAAAAGCGTCATAAACATCTCGAGGAACGTAACTAGTAACCCTAATAAATATGCTTTCCGAATATATACCACATGCTGTAGCTGGGGATCGGTTTGATTGTGGTATGTCGCCAAGGGGAACCTCCTCCAGCATGGAGGCTTCCAGTATACGGTCTCCTTTTCTAATTCCAACAAGTGGCCTCCAAAAAAGACACACGTATCTGCGGCTGTGTTCTTGCCAAAGCCCATTTGTGTAGCATGCGGCTAAACATTGTGAGAGTAAGGAAGACCATTATCGGCATAGCTGGTCCCAATGGAGGAACCAAGTGATCAATTGGGTGCATCTCCATTGGAGCACTGCAGTTGATTCCGAAAGGCAAAATGATGACATAGTCTTACTGGCTCCCGCCTGGGTCGAATGTTTCCATATTCGAATGCCTGGTGGTGGCATATATTGCTCTCCGTGTTGCCGCGATGGGCAACGTGCATGACGACTTTACCATCCTAAATGGGTTCCATTGTTGTCAACGAAAGCGGTCGTCAAGCCCAATTGCAGCGTTATGCTGCGCTGAGACCTTTGATCAGCTCCGAGAATAAAAACCACGTTTCTCCCTGGAAATCAACCGGAGAAAGAAGCACCCTCGACAAACAAAAATCCACAAGGCTAAACAAACAAACAAACAAACAAACAAACAAACAAACAAGCCAGCAAGCAAATAAGCCAGCAAGTAAACAAGCAAGCAAGCAAGAAAGAAAACAAGTAAACAGAAAGGCAAACAAGCAAGCAAGTCAAGCAAGCAAGTAAACAAGCAAGCAAGTACACAAGCAAGCAAGTACACAAGCAAGCAAGCAAGCAAGCAAGCAAGCAGGCAAGCAAGCAAACAGACAAACAAACAAACAAGCAAGTAATCAAGCAAGCAAGGCATGAAGCAAACAAATAAACAAACAAAAAAACAAACAAACAAACAAACAAACAAGCAAGCAAGCAAGCAAGCATGCAAACAAACTGACTACTCCCTCAATTTCACAGGAACGAAGCCGCAAGGCTAGGGTCACCACGTGCTGCAAAGCCTTCTCAAAGCTCCATCTCCTGCCGAGAGTTTCACTCAGGGCCAACAGTCCGATCCAGCGGAACCCGGTGGAACCCAGTGGTCAATTTCGGATGCAACTTTAAGACCAACCATTGCTCGGTGGGACCCCATTTGAATTCAGGGGAGTGATCATGAAGCTGTTCCCGCGTCTCTAGATTGTTCCCTTGACATTCATCCAAAGGACCATTCAAAACGGTCGCCCTTTAGTGACTGGAACTTATTCATCGGAGGACTCTGATAGCAGGGATACAATCGAAGAAAACAACTCAATCCGAACGCACCACTCCGTCACGCCCTGCAAATCACTGACTGAACATGCAACATGCAACTGAAGAGCACCCGTTGCCTCCACCTTCAACCGCGATGTGCGTGCCTTTTCAAGGTGGGCTACCGTACCCCAGGCTGGTATGAAGGCATGCTTCGACTCCTCAACCAGTTGTCCGTCTAAGGAGTTCAGGTTAATCCCGTCCTCGACTCGATCAACCAGGCGATCACGATGCTCGCCTCAAGCTGGACGTATCGGATGGCTTCCAAAGAGTATCTCCATGTCAACTTGCGCACACCGCTACAAAGCCCCTTGCCAACCTGCCAAAGCAAGGGCTGGACAGCTCTGTTGGAGATATGGCCCATGATTATTTGCGTTCGGAGGAGTGTTTTTGTGAGATAAGGTTGGTTTATTGGGAAGCCAAAAACAACACCGCCAAGTATGGGGGTCCTCTCATTTTCACAAACGAACTGAGCGCGTTTGGTCTCATAAGCGACCAGTGCTGCTGAGAGGCTGAGCGGTTGACGCCCAAAGCACAATGAACCAAAACCTTTGCCTCCGCATCCTGATAAGCGGCCTGGCCAGCGGCATAGCGGCCGGCTGACATGAGGTTGAAATGCCGCCTCTTCGGCTCTCGGAGGTTGCCGTGCAAACCACGCGGCAGGTTTGGTTGTGATCCACGCAAGGCACAGCAAAGGATCTGCAGCCAGAGGAATTTATATAGGCACGCGAAACACGACTATACCCCATATCCCTCGTGCAAGCCATTGGCAAAAACTCCGAAACCCAAAACCCAGACCGCTTCAATCATTCAAATATTGCAAAAACCAAGCATCTCCTGCCAAGCCCTTTTCATCACTATCGGATAGTAGGGTGGTCTATGTGGCCCTTGTACCATCCGTTCTGAACCAGCTTGGCGCACCTCCAAGACGAATCGAATAATGAGCACGCTTAGGCGGGCATCCATCCACGTAAAAAGTGGACAATGGGTTGCCTTGGTACTCCCCAAACCCGAGGCCAAAGCGAGTTTCCCAAAAACAAACATGGGCAAATCGGGTGGGCCCCGTTTTTAAACCGGCGAACTACCTATCATATCGGGGGTTGATCAAAAGGTTCTTGACATGGGATGACCATCGGGGAAACCACTAAAAACCTGACACTTCCCACTAGATGAGACACCTTTCCCCTGGTGAACGTCAAAATAGGTGGCAAATGGATGTTCCTCCATCCCAAACATGGAGCCACAGGTTCTACCCCATGGCCATTTGGCTGAACCCCAGGGGCCGTTTTTTGCGCGGAGAAAAAAAGAAAAAAACGAAACGAGCGCCTTGAGGAAGCGCTTGGAGTGCCAGTAGGCGCCCGAGGACCGGCAGCTGGGATCCAGGGCCCGAGCTGCCTGGGAGGTTCGGAGCTATGGGGTAGGTAGGGAAGGAGCCATGGGAGGCCATGGGATGAACCCAGGAAACCGAAACCCTGGCCCCCTTAAAGGAAACCAGTT